TGGGGGTCTTCCAGGCAAGAAGTCCGCCCCCAGCCTGCCCCGACTCTCGGGATGGGGACTGGGGAACCTCCTGCATCTGGAGGGTGAGGGCTGCATCCTGGGCCTCAGGTCCAGGCGCGTGGAGACGAAGCCTGTCTCCTGAGCACACAGTGAAGTTGCACCCAAGTACTTAAGGCGTCGACCTGACAACCCGATGGGGAACTGGCTGGAACCTGAGGGCCCGCAGGAGGGAACAGCCCCTGCGAGGAGGGGCCGCGCGGCATGAACCGGGAAGGCGGGCAGGGGCTCAGCCACGGGGCCCTGGGCGTTGCCCCCATGCAGTGCATCTGCTTGGGCTGACCCACTGGGTGCCCAGAGGTCCACGGGAGGTGGGTGGCTGCGGGGGGCAGGGGAGCAGCGAGAGTGGAGCGCGTGGGGCACCAGTGTTTCCAGGGACTGGATGTGGGGAGGGAGGCACGAAGGAGCTGGCCTGGTCGGCTCCCACTGACCGAGATGGGGACTGGAACCGCTTGGTGGAAGGTGCCCCTGACGTGGGCCGTCAGGGCAGAACCGGGAACAGACCAGCACCCCTCGTCCCTCTATCCCAGCCTCTGTGCACGGACCGTTCTCTTCTGTAGAACAGTGTCTGCCACGTGAGAATGGAATCTGCTGCCATCAGTGCTGGGCCTCTGCGGCCCCAGGGCTCCCGGCTCCCAGCACAGCACCCTGACCACACAGTTGCCTTGGTCAGAACCCAATAGCTTGGCCCACAGACCCTCACGGTGGCCAGTCCTGGGCCTGCCAGCCCAGCATGACCCAGAGAGAGGTGACAGACGGCAAATGTCCTGCTATCTGTGCACAGCACCTTCCAGAACACCTGTCCCAAGAGAGAGCAGGTGGAGGGAAGACCCAGGAGTCCAGCAGGCCTGTGCTGTGGGTCCTGCCTGTGGAGGAAGAGGACACTGGGTGACCTGCCCTGCACAGGGTCCCTCTGCTCCCGGCCCCTCCCCGACCCCCTGCACAGGGTCCCTCTCTGCACCTGGCCCCAGGGCTGCCCCTCCCTGTTACTCCTCCTTTCCCTGCACCTGGGTGGAATTCTCTGAGGTCTGCATTCTGTGAAGGAAGAATGGGCCTCACGGGACAGGAGCAGACAAGATGCAAGAGCTCCCTCCCCTTGCCCAGGCCTGGCCTCGGCTGACACCGTGGTTGCAGGTTGCCGTTGGAGCTGTCTGCCCTGGTGAGCCCCACACCTCCCGAGGCCTCCACAGCCCTGACCTTCATCCATGGCGGTGTTCTCACTGGGCTCCTGTCCTCCCCTAAGGTGGCCTCATGGGCCCAAGGGCGCTGGGGCCCGGGCAGGGGTGACGCAGGGCACTCAAGGCTCTTGGTGCCTGTAGGTTGAGGGGGCTTGCTCCTGCTTTGTATCTCGTGGGGTGAGGCGGGCTCTATCTGGGGCTAGGTGTCCACAGGGGCTGGGACACACCTGGACTCCTGGACAGAGGCCCAGGGAGGCCGTCTGTCTGTCTGTCAACAGAGCTCTGGGGTCACGGTCACAAGGTCGTGGGCAGGGAGGGCGGCGGGAGGGTCCTTGACCTCAGGGGGCGTGTGGGTCGCAGCCCTGATCCACCCGCAGATCCACCAACAGTGCTGAGGTCTTGCTGCTCCTGAGCGAAACCTGGACCAGAGCCCGTTTCTCCAAGGACAGCACCTCCACCCTCCTCCAGGTCAAAGGACTGGAGGGAGGTCGTGTGGCGCCGCCAGGGGGCGCGCTGAGCCCACGGCTGTGCTCGGCCGCAGTTGGGGACAGGCGGACTTGCCGGAGGCCCCCTCTGCTCGCTCCTGGGGAGCAGGGGACGAGGGCTGAGCAGGCGGGCGCCGAGCACCGTGACCCCGGGCACCCTGACCCTGGGCAGGGCCTTGTCCCCCAGAGCCCCTCATGCGGGACACCTGCCTCCGGGGGACCCTTGGTCCGCCGGCCACAGGATAGGGATGGTGACAGGAACTCCTGCCAGTTGTTGGGGAGTCAGCGAGTCCCCTGAGCCCGCGAGATGCACCTTCCCCATGCTCTCCAGGCCCTCACACCACGTGCCACCACCCCTGGCACGGTGACCTGGGGCTGCAGCCACACAATGTTGCCCTTCAAGTGACTGCACTTGTGGATAAGTAGGATTCGCTGGGCGTCCTCTGCCAAGGTCCCCGCGGGGACAGGAGCTCTATCACCCTGTGCCCCTAGCACCTAGAACAGTGCCCAACCCACACATCAGCAACAGACACGTGTGTGTGACACTGGGGACAACGGTTGTGATGGTGAAGACGTGGGAGCTGTGGTGCGAGGCGAGGCCATGCGTGGGAGCCAATTCTTCCCTCTCTGTGCGGTTCTCTGTCTGTCTAGAGGGGAACGTGGACATTCTGACAGACAAGCTGAAGGTGACAAGGGGACAAGCCGGACACCTTCTGTTGGCCCCGCATCCCTGCGCTGGCGGTTGCTGCTGGATTTGGGGGAGATTGAAGTCACTGGGAAGATCCAGGGCAGCCGTGGGGCTGCGCACCGAGTGTTGCTGCCACTGCTTCATCCGTGGTGTCCCTGCCGGGGCTCTGTCGCCTCTCCTGGGGTCTGAGAAGGTGACGGCCTGCAGGGACCAAGAAACCTGGCCAGGCCTGGGCCCAGGGTGACAGGGGACCTCCAGGACCACTGGCCACACCATTCTGTGAAGAAAACGCCACCAGTGAGCTGTGTCAGTGACCTGCAGACTAGTAGGGGGACCTGAGGGCGAGAAGCCTCTGTGCACCTGGGCCCGCACACAGCTCGCGGGCAGCTCGCTTTCCCGTCCCCTAAATGCACCACGTCATTGCCCGGCCGTCGCGGCCTGTGCGGGAGGCGTCCGTCCTGCCCTCGTCCGCTGCCTGGTCCACTCAGCCCCAGCTGAGCCCCCAAGCAGGGACGAGACGTGGAGACGGGGCAGAAGCAGCCGTGACGGCCACCACAGGCTCTGGGCTGCAGGCCTAGTCCCCAATCTTGACGCACGGGTCGGCCTGACGCCATCCCGCGCGGTGGAGCAACGTGAGGAGAACGGGTTTCCTCGTTGTCTGCTCTGCTTCTGTCTCCAGCCTGCCTCACCCCCCCACAGCCCTTGGGACAGGTGCATCCCTCTGGTGGGAAAGACACGCAGGCCTGCAGAGCTACAGCCACACTGCACGGCAGCACTCGCTCCGAGGGAGCCGCGGCTGAGCAGAGGGCACCGGGCCACCCGGGAGCCCAGAGCAGAGGCCCAACCTCTCGCTCACGGCCCCTCACTCAGGCGTCTGGTTCAGAACTCGGAGTGCAAGAAGGAGGCAGAGCCACACCTGCCACGCTGGCACACCAGGCCCTCCGCGTCCCTCGGGCCGGCCTCCACGCAGGGCCACCCTGGACTAGCACCCCATGGACGCCCAGACCTGTGGCAGGAGCAGAGCCATCTGAGGTGGTCAGAGGCCCAGTGAGAAGTCAAATGTGTGTCTTGTTTTGGAGAGCTTATATTCCTGACTAGCAGAAGGTCACCCCCAAGCCAGCCACGTGGTGCCAACGCGTGGGGACCCCACCCTTGAGGCCCCGAATGGCAGCACAGGCAGCTCACAGCTCCGAACGAGGCCAGCGGCACACAGCCACAAGGGACTGATGACAGATGGACAGACAGATAGGAAAGGGCAACTGGGGCCGGCACCCTCCTGGCCTGTGGCTGAGTGCCGGGCACCGAGGAGCCGGCGGGACCACTCAGGCCAGTGCTGCTCCGGGGCCAGAGGCTCTTCCTGCCCTGGCTGGGAGACAGACCAGCTGTTTCCAGAAGCTTCCTGGGAACCCACCTGGCAGCAGCAGCTGGTGCTCAGGTGCAGGGACCAGGGGCCGCCCCCAGAGGCTGGGACACAGTCCCGGCCTGATGTCTCCGTATCCGGGGGACAGGCAGTGGCAGTGCTATGGGACCATTCGTGCGCAGCAACTCCTGGTGCTGGCAGAGCCGCCTGTCCTGCGATCGGCTCATCTGATAGCACGGCCATGGCCCCACCAGGAAGGCAGTTTCCAGGGTCAGATCTCAGTGCTGTTTCTGTGTCTCTGAGCCTCCTTGTTCCCAGCTGGACGCGGTCGCTGTTGGGGAGAACTAGGGTGACACCGTGTGGCGGGGATTGGAGGGTGTCACCTGTGTCCTTTGACCCCTGGGCCAGGGACCCCTCCCTCTCAGAGATCCTGCTCGTCACCACCATGCCCTTTGCATGCCCATGTGTGCTCGTATGCGAGGGCGTGCATGTGTGCTGTGTGCATAGCCATGTGCCCATGTGTGTGGTGTGTGTGTGTGAGTGTGCACATAGGTGGGGTATACACATGCCGTGTGCGAGTGTGCACACATGTGTGCAAGCACGCGTGTGTTCTCGTGTGGGAGAGCGAGGGAGTGTGTGTGCTGGTGGGTGGTGGGGTGTGTCTGCAGAACGCTCTGGGCCCACCTTCCCAGCCTCGGGCTGAAGCACATGAAATCGCGATTGCACCCACCTGCCTGAGACTCGCGGGCTGAGCAGGGAACCTTGGGGTGCCTGTCAGTCTCCCTTGTGGGCCGCCGCCTGCTGCCCCCACCCAGCAAGTGGGTGCCCATCGTGATGTCCTCAATGCGGCCCTGCTGGCTCCCACAGGCCCCGGCACACGGGGCCCCAGGCCTCCCTGTGAAGCTCAGCCCCGGGTCCTCAGGGAACAACACCTGACCCCTTGGGGCTCCTGGCATGCCCTGGGGTCGCCTCTGGTTGGGGCCGGGCCCCCAGGCAGATCTGTGGCCCAGCCTAAGGGCCATCGCCGAGGGCAGAGCCCACTCTGGGCCCCATGGGGAAGTGACTTTGCTTCTGGGGCTCATGGGCTCAGGAGGATGGGCTGTGCGATCACGGCCACTATCAGGGCCACATGTCCTGGAGGCTCAGCCACATGCCACCTGCCCTGAGCTCGCTTCCCCTCCCCACCGTATGTTTCGTGGAATCAGACACATGGAAGGAAGGGCCAAGCTCTCTCGAGGGCCGGAGGGGAGAACAGCTTCTGTTCACTCTTTATTGTGTCTTTTTAACAGATGGTGCATCGTTCGCCCGGCGGGTCTGGGTCATGCCTGGGATGGTGCTGGCGCCCCTGCAACAGGCCGCGTGGTGCTTCTCAGGGCTGCTTGTCTGTGTCCCTCGTCCCTCGGTCTGGCCAACCCCAGGGGACGGAAGCAGAGACCTTCGGTTACTGGCCAGAGGGGGCAGGTGGCGGGCTGGGAGGGGGTCAGGGCTGGCCTAGCCCCTGCTCCAGCCCCTGACCCCCGGGTTCCCGCTCAGCCCCCTCCCACGTCTCCCGGGCTGAGTTACCTTCCCTGGGGTTGCTACACGCTCTGCTTCACCTTCTTCCTGGTGGAGTAGGGGATACAGCACACCCAGCTGGTCCTGGTCCTGGAGGTGACAGGAGAGGGTGAGAGAGGTATCCCCCACTGGCCACGGAACCCCAGGCCACGTGTGGCACCTCCTCCACCCCAAAAGCGCACCACAGGGGCTCCCTTCCAACTTCATCAGGCCTCAGGAGCCGAGGACCTGCCAGCCAGGGGCGGCTCCAGGGCCCTCGCACAAACACGGACGCCGGTGCAGAGCTGGCCTGCCAGCCACCCGCCGTCTTCTGTGCTCCTCCCTCCGAGGCCTGAGCCAGAAGGGCCCATGAACATGGGGGACCCTAAGGCTCAGTTGAGCCAAGTCGTCCCTAGGCCCCAAGGCTGGCTGTGCAGGTATCACAGGTGGATGATGCCTGTGCCTGACCTGCCGTGTCCAGGACCTGGGGGCCTGTGCTCCCTTCCCTGTGGGGCGGTCTCTGGGGTCTCCACTTCCAACCAAGACTGCCTCTGGGATGAGGTTCCAGCCTCCCTTCCCTTTGCAGGGATCCCATGGCCCAGAGCCAGAGGGTCCCACTGGGCAGGTAGCATGTGGAGGGTCTGACCCCACCACCTGAACGGGCCTGAGGGAGAGGGCTAGACAGAGAAGCCTCGGCTCAGAGGAAAACTGAGATTACAGGTGAGTAGGGCAGTGGGACAGACAGGTGACCACACCTAGCGAGTGTCCAGGCCAGGCCACGTGGAGGGCCCACCACAGACCCCTCCCATGCCCTGCTGGCTTGGCTCTTAGGCACTGGCCCTGTCTCATAGGTTTTCTGGGGCAGCTGAACATGGGAGTGGGGGTGCTGAGACCAAGAGGGTGGAGCCAGGATTGTCCAGCCCTTGGGGCAGAAAATAAAGCCAGCCAGTTGTGTCCAGTGTGGCTGAATCCATCACGATGTCCACCAAGAAATGACGAGAAAAATAAAGATCTACTCGGGAAAAGCCTGCCTATTTCCACCTGGATTTGGGGTGACAGGCAGCTCTCATGTCCTGGTGGAAGCCGGTGTGGCCAGCTGTGCAAGTGGAGGTCAGGGAGATGCAGTCTTCTGAGCTAAGCCAGAGTGAACCTTCTTCACAGAACACACACATCGGGAAAGGCAGTAATCGCCACAACTGCCCCGTGAGCCCCGAGTGATGACGCCACAATCTTCCAGGGAGACTCCCTCCGCACAGGCCTGGCCTTCATCTGAGTCTGTGCCCCTGTGCAGGCCCTGCTGTTCACTGTTCTCAGAGGTGGGATCTGCTGATTTGATGCTTTTTTTTTTTTGCTGAGGAAGATTAGCCCTGAGCTAACATCTGCGCCAATCTTCCTCGATACGTGAGTTGCCACCACACCATGGCTGATGAGTGGTATAGGTCTGGACCCAGGATCCAAACCCGTGAACCTGGGCCACCAATGCAGAGCACACAGAACTTAACCACTACGCCACAGGGCAGGCCCCTGATTTGATGCTTTCCCTCTCTGTTGTGCTATTCCACATCGTTTCCATTATTTAGAATGATCATGTATCAGTTTTATCAAGTAAATAGAGAAATTCTTATTTTAAAAAAAGTACAAGCCACGGCCAGCCCTGATGGCCTCATGGTTAAAGCTCGCAATGCTCCACTTCAGTCACCCAGGTTCAGTCCTGGGCTCAGAACCACATCACTCGTCTGTCAGCAGCCATGCTGTGGAGGTGGCCCACACAGAAGAACTAGAATATACAGCTATGTACTGGGGCTTTGGGGAGGGAAAAAAAAGGAAGATTGGCAACAGATGTTAGCTCAGGGCCAATGTTTCCCAGAAAAAAAAAAAATGTACAAGCCCATAAGCCAAGACATTAACACAACTATTGATTCCAAGAGGTGGGAGCAGGGTAAATTGCCATTTTCTTCCTTGTGTTTCTCTGTATTGTTAAAATAAAATGGATCCCATTCCCCCTGCTCCCAGGACCCTCACGGACTCAGGAAGTCGTGGGGCTTCGCTGGCCCTACACACTCTCCACCGCTTTGGGGTGCAGGCAGTCAGGCCCCGAGGCCTGGCCCACTTGTCAGGAAACTAGCTGTATGTGACAGGTCCTCCCATTGCCTGCAGGACCAAGTCTGCAACCTCTGCAGCCAAAACCCCACCTGAGAAGCCAGCACAGCCACACGGTGACACCCCCGCTTAACTTCTCTTCTCCCTCCCTCATCTTCTGGCCGTTCTGCTGGCTGATGGGGGTGGAGAGAGGGTCTGGCTATGGCGTGAGGTGCGGCTCAGGGTGAAGGTTGTCCCTAAGCCCAGGCGGTTAGATGACCTGTCTCCTGCCTCTCAGCCCCTCCAGCCTCGACAAAAGCTTAGGTCTCTGTGCATGCCCAGGAGAAGAGGGGAAGCACAGTCCTGTCCAGCCACATGAGGCAGGTGGGCCTGCCAACCACAGCAGAGGAAAAGTCTCCCTGACCTCCCCAACGGGAAGCTACTGTATCACTCACTCATCTTCTGACAAATCCCCCACGTCCATCTGGGACCGCTTCTCTTCTCTCGTGGCACACGTGGCCACCTGTGGGAAAGAGCGGAGCAGTTTGAGGGCCTGGGGAGGGACTTAACCACAGGCACCAGGCCAGACCTGCTGGACTTGCCCAAGGGCTGCATGGGGAAGACTGTGCTGGGCCTGAATGTCCTCCTATGAGATGTGGCACCATCGAGTGGAAGTTTCCAAGTCGGGACCCTGACCAAGGAACAGTGCCCTGGATGTGGGTCACCGTGACCTCCTGACCATAGTTCAGGGGACCTGGGCCTTAGTCCCAACTCTGCCACTGGCTGACCCTCTCTCAGTCCTTAGAACATGTGGTCCCCTGTGACAGCCGTGGGTGGGGTTAGTAACCAGCTCTCTTCACCGTGGAGCATATTCTGAGGGCAAAGAGATAGAAGGAACGATCTGGGAATGAATGATCCCAGCCGGAGCTTAAATTTGCCAAGAGAGAACTTCAGAAAAGATGACTGCTCACTGCAGCAGAGAAATGCAGAAAGACATCCTGGAATATTTGTGTTGGAAAGACCCAGACAGGCCATTAGGTTGACCACTTCATTTTTACAGAAAATGTGATGCTGATGTCACAGTGATGAATGATGGTGATGATAGTGATCATGGTGATGATGCGGATGATGGTGATGATGGTGGTGATGATGAGGATAATGGTAGTGACAGTGGTGATGATGGTGACGGTGGTGATGATGGTGTAGGTGGTGATGATGGTGGTGTTGATGGTGTAGGATGGTGATGATAGTGATGATGGTGGTGATGATCGTGATGATGAGGATGATGGTGGTGTTGATGGTGTAGGTGGTGATGATGGTGATGGTGGTGGTGATGATCGTGATGATGAGGATGATGGTGGTGTTGATGGTGTAGGTGGTGATGATAGTGATGATGATAGTGGTGATGGTGATACCTAATACTGAGGCTTTCTGGGTACCAGACACTGTTCTGAGGGCTTTACAAAACAACACTGGGGTACGGGTGCTGCTAAGGTCCCCATTTCACAGACGAGACAGAGAGGTATGGTGACTTGTTAGATCATTTACTGGTAGACCTGGACGTGGGGGCCAGGTCTGCTAACTCCTAAGCGTGTGTCCTTTCTACCACCTCAGCCTGATCCCACAAGAGGTTCTCGGGGCCCACAGGCACCCCGAGGGTGATCCAGGCCTTAGCATCTCCGACGGTGCTGGAATGCATGCAGGTTGGAGAGAGGGAGGATGACAAAGAGGTGAGGGTGCCCTCTGGCCCCCAGGCCAATCCTCGACACCCTGAGCTCTCCTGGCACTGCCGGCTCGTCTCTGCCTCAGCCTCCAGCACACAGGGAGGGGCAAGCTCCTCGGAAGAGCCTTGAGGCCTGAGCACGAGCGTTTCCCAGTGTGCGGTTTGGCTTTGCTGTCTGAGGGTTTTTACCTCCTCGGCATGGTCTCCCAGATCAATCTCCACAAACACAGATGGCTTCTGTGAATGGAAACCAAAGAGGCATGGCTGACGGGCATGGACGAGCTGGGCCAGGGGAGACTTCCTGGGATAGTGGGCTCTTGGCCCTGGGCCATCACCACCCGGACCACCAGACACTGGCCCGCTCATGGGGCTGCTGGGAAGCTGGGCGGGGAGAGGTGGCCGTGTGGATGGTGCGCTGTCACAGGCTGGCTCTGGGGGGAGGTTGGGGGAGAAAAGCTGACCTCCCACTTCTCCCTCTGCACCTCCCTTCGGGTCCCAGAGATGCCAGAGGGCCTCCCAGCCTTCGCCCTCCAAGAACCAGGGCCTGTGGGGACGAGGCGATGCCAGAGCTGAGGTGGCCCCCTGCGCCCACCCAGACCTGCGCAGCTGGGCCACACAGGATGCCGTCCTGCCAGGAAAGGCTGGCCGCCCAGGCACTGCTTCCCCAGGCCGCTACTGGAGCCTGGCTTGTCCTGGAATGAGTTTCCAACAAGCACTTTAGTCGACACCCAGAGAAGAGGCAGGGTGGGCGAAGGCCTCCCCAGAACCCCGGGACCATGCCAAGGGCTGTCGCTGCAAGTCCTGGAGAAGCCTGTCCAGCGGCCACTCCGTTCCCGACCACGCGATCGGCTGAGAAGGAAAGCCGCCTTCCCTTGGAAGAAGAACATTCTGGCTACGGCGTTGCCGTCTCAGGCAAGCGCCTCAGGGCAGTGGCTCGGGGGGCATCTTGGGCCAGGTCAGGCTGGTGGTCACCTCCTGTCAGGGCCCCGCATACCTTGAGCGTCTCTGCCGTTTGGTGAGCTGGGGCCAGGATGCCCCAGCTTCGGGCCAAGAAAACAGAGCTTGACCCCGAAGGCTCTCAGGGGCTCGAGGTAGGGCTTGGTCCAGCCTGAAGCACCGCCCCACAAGATGACCCGGGACCATGTGTCCGCAGCACACTCAGGGTCCAGCAGGACTGGGCCTGACAGGCCTCCCTGACTGATTTCTGTGACTGAGGGAAAAGCTCTTACCTCCTCTTCCAGAAGGTCCTCCAGCTGTGGGGACTCGGGGTCCTGTTCCTGTAAGAAGATGCCAAACAGGTAAACAAAGGCAAGACTCTGGCCCAAGAGGCCAGCGTGCGGGGACATTAAAGGATAGGGCTGGCCCCCGGGCCCTCCCCACCTGCTGCCCCTGCCCCCGGCCCCTGAGCTGTTCTCTTCCACCTCCGGCTCCGCGGTTCCACTCTCACGGTCTGCCTTCCCGAGGATGTGCTGACTCTCCTCCCACTTGTGCTCCTTCAGGTCTGCGTGACTGTGGGGAAGCAGGGCAGCGATTGGAGCCGGCGTTGTAGGCACACGGCTTCCAGCCAACATGTCCTCCCTCCTGGGCATCGGGCAGCCTGGAAGACGCTGGAACCTGCGCGTCGCCCGCATTGGCCGAGGGTCCTGAGTGTGAGGGGCCTTCTCCTTCCTGGGGCAGGAGGGTGGGTGGCGGGCAGAGGGAACAGGGACTGGGCAGTGCCCCTAGAGGCTGGATCTGCAAACTGTCCAGACCATCCCCAACATGGAGGCCAAGGCCAGCGTCCGCATGACAGACAGCACCTCCTCGGAGTTCCCAGGGAACTTCGGCGACCAGGCGCAAGCTCCAGGCTCTGGGCTATGCAGTAGGAGGGGCGGGCGGGGGGGCTGGCTGCCCTGAGACCCTCGTGTCACCTTGCCTCATCCTGCTCTCAGGACGCCTGCAGCTCCCTTGGGCCCCTGGTGCCGTCTCCTGCATCCTCCTTGTGCCCCTGCACACCGCCTCTGCGGACGGATGCTGGTCTCTTACCTGGTGACCTCCTCAGGGTCACATTTGAGGTCCTTTCCCTGGTCTTCAGACTCTGTGAGAAAAGGGTGGAGTTGGTCGTCAGCACCTCCGTCCTGTGGCCACAGCAGGCGTAGGCTCCTGGGACTGGCTGCCACTGTCCACCTGGACCCACGGTCACAGCTAAAAGGGGTCTAGACTTTCATCCCAACGGTTCTGCCCCATGCCTGCCCCAGGATACTGCCCTCTAACCCCTCACCCTGGAGCACAGGCCCACCCATGTGCCCGGGGAGCTGGGGCAGGGCTGACGGCGTTGCTTTCACAGCAGATGTGAGATGGGACCCTTGGCGTCTTCCAGTCACGGCACACTGGGCTGGCAGCAGCCGATGCAGAGCAGAGCGGAGACCTCATGGAGGTCCAGGATGAGGACACCCGGCTGGCCTGGGAGAGTCCTCTGGCCGCCAGTTCCTCCTGGCTCCTCTGACGGCATCGCTGCAGGTAGATGGTCTTTTTTCCAAGAAAAGTGCCAACAGATACCCGGTGGTGAGGATCTTTGTCCTGGCGCGAGGGACAGCAGGCACCGTGGCTCCCTGAGCCCCCCCAACACTCTTGTGTGCACAGCGGCCGTCCACCATCAATGGAGGTGAAACCACAATGGGTGACTGGGCAGGACAGAGCCTCCCCAGGTGGCTCCTCTAAGCACATTTCTCCTTGGGGCTCGCGGATGAGCTGGCCTTCGAGGAGGACTCACATAGCCAGGGTTTCCTAACCCTCCTTAGGATCTGAGATGGAGCCTCCGAGGGGCTCCAGGTCCTGCTTTTGTGTGGCCACATCTGAGCCTGGAACGGCTGAGATGACAGCCTGGTCCTCCAGCCCGACATGCACCCAAGGCCGGGGCACAGACACCAGGGCAACACTGAGCTCTCCATCCTGCTCTTGAGGGGAGGCCTGGGGCCTCTGAGTGACCTGGTCCTGGAGGATTCCCTATAGAGCGCAGGGTTGGATCAGCGACACCACTCGGTGTCCTTTCAGCTCACAGGCCCCAGGGCCAGGTGCCTGTAGGCGGAGGTGATGGCCGGGCTCCCCTAGGGGCCTGTGTCTGCCCAGCTTCCCCGGGGGCCCATCCACCTGGTCCTTCGCGCTGTCGCTGCCCTGGAATGAGTCCTGGGGCCCTGCCATCCTCCAACACCATCCTCCACAGGCCCGGGGAACCTTGCCCTGGGCAACCTGCCTGGGGGAGCTCTTGTCATGGCCAGGCCTCCAGGCTCGGCACACACGGCCTGGCTGGTCATCAGACCTTCTCATCTCTGGTCTGTGCTTCCCGCAGACAGAACCAAGTTCTCTTATCCTTCTCTCATCTGCGGCTCAGCACCGGCTCGGGACCCATGCTGGTCTGTGCTATGCTATCCCGGCAGACGAAGCGTGGGGAGAGGGGAGCTGTGTTTTCAGAGAATATTCTAGAACTTGGGAACTCTCATAATGTCCCTCAGGAGAAGAGGCCAGATAGGGGGACTGAGACAACTCAGAATCCACAGTTTTCTGGCAGAGATTTAAAAATTGACTTCTTTTGGAAAATCTTCAGCAGCCCCCTAGGCCATGTGTGCACATGTGTCTGTGTGTGCAGACATGTGCATGTGTTTAGAAGACACGGCTGTCCCAGGCAGATCTTGAGACCCTGCTGCTCCCTACAACATGCGTCTAATGAGAAGGGAAAGATTAGGAAAGAGAAACACGAGTTTCCTTTGCTCCAAAGGCTGTGGGCCTGGAAACGCGTCTCACACATCTCGTCTCAGGAAGTACAAACTCTGGCACGCTCGCGGCTCCCCTGCTCCGTTTGCTAAGAAAGAGCCTGTGTTTATCTTGGTCCCGCACCCGTGAGGCGATGAGCGGTCCGTCCTTCCGCGAGTTGGTTGCTGAGTGGCCAGGCGGGTAGAAGGCAGGGTTGTGACCTGCGGCTGGGGCTTGTCTCGGGGTCTCAGGAGAATGGGACAGTCAGAAGCTCCAGGCCGTGAACAGCGCATCCCTGCTGGCTTTCTCTGGCCAGAGTTGGAACGGTCCTCTGACCTACCACGCGCCAGCTGTTTCCAGCATGAGGAGCCCTTGCGGGTCGGGTGCGGCTGGGTGGCCGCGGGGTAGGGCAGGGCCAGGTGGCCTAGGCCAGTTCTCTTGCGGTTAGTGAACTATCAGAAAGTGTGGAAAAGGCACGAGGCTGGCCAGGGAGGGGTGACATGGTTCCCGGACCCCTCAGTAGCCAGTGCTGACTCTGCAACTCGGTGAGGCCCCATTGTGCAGATCCAGTGGGGCCTTTTGGGGGCGCGCTGCTTCTTCTGCCTGTGCAGCATGGCTAGTGGTCCATCTGTGCCTCCCCCACGTCCTCCCTGAGCACTGGGTCATGTTGTGGGGGCGGTGGAGCAGGAGCAGAGTGCTAGGGAGAGCCACTGGGGAAGCCAGGGAGAGGGGAGGCTGGGGCGAGGGGAGACCTGTGTGAGGGGGAGACCAGGGTGAGAGGAGGCCAGGGTGAGGGAAGGGAGGGAAGGCCCGTGTGAGGGGGAGGCCTGTGTGAGGGGGAGGCCAGGGCGAGGGGAGTCCGGGGCGAGGGGAGGCCTGGGAGGCTTTGCGGAGAGTCAGCTGCTGGAGCCGGGAGGTTCTTTGGGGAGCAGGGCAGGGTTCTAGGCAGAGGCAGGTGGCCATGGCTTGGGGCAGTCCAAGAACACAGCGACGGGTCCCTGCGCTCCTCTCCTGGAACAGCCTTGTCTTCCCTGAGCGACTTGCTCGCACCGGCTCAGAGGTGTCCTCACTCTCTCTGCCTCCCACCTGCCCATAAGGCAGATGTCATCCTGCTCCCCTTGAGTGTGTGCATCCCGTCCGGGTCAGTCCGCACCCCTGGCGAGGCTGCATCACCTCGTCTCATTTTACGATGTGGACGGCAGTGCGCATGGCTGGGGGGCCTTGGGGTCTGCATCCTGCGGGCTCTCGACGCGGGGGAGGCCAAGCCCCTCCCACGGGGCCTGGCACTGAGGGGACAGTGCGCAGGTGGAGGCCTCTCTGTCGCCCACCGTTGGGGACACCCAGCAGTGTGGGTGGGAGTGTCCGGAACCTTGAGCCCCTCCTCAGCTGAGCGCCCCACGGCCCCGCAACGCTGTCCTCAAGTTGCCCTCCTTCCACCACAGTTTCCTCAGCTGACTCAGGATGGTTCCTTCTTTGGGTACTCCGCTTCTCCTGTGTGAGCCTGGGGTCATGTGGCCCTGCTCGGGGGTTCCACAGGAGGAGGTCGTGGGGAGAGCCACACAGCAGCCCCTGCGCGGCCCCCGGCGCCTCCTCCTCCAGTAGTGCATCTCTGGGCATTAAACTGGAGAACGAGCTCCTCACAGCGCTGCCTCTACAGTCGCGCACGGCTTGAATTCCCTGCCCACTGGGCTCACTTCCAGGCGCCCCTGACAACCTCATACAGGGCTATGCGCTGTGTGGATGTCCCGCGAGGCCAGGGCTGCCAAGGCCCTGGCAGGTGACAGGAGCATCCCTGGTCCCCCAGGGTGAGGCCTGCTGTGCCAGGGCTGGTGAGGGAGATGGCCGCCCACACGGGAGAGCAGGTCACTGTGCTCCAGACGCAAGTCACAGAGGATGAGGGCGTCTGGGTGCTCGTCCCCACTCGGCCGCACCATGACCTGCTTGGCATGTTGAGGGATGTACTGCAGTGGGAAGCGCCCATGCCAGGTGCAAACCACACACCATATGTGCGAAAGCTGCCCGTGCCACTCATGGTGACAGGTGGCACCTCCAGGCTCCCTGCTGACCCTCCCAAGGCCGTGGCTCCCAATGGAGGCACGGCGTCACCCTGGGCCTCACTATAAACCAGGTACGCTTCCTTGTGTGTTCTCCCACGTCTCCATCCCCACCCTCCCTGGAAGCAGCAGCTGCCACACGGTCCCTGGCCCTCAGGCTGCCCGCAGAGCCCCAGGTTGGTTCTGCCACCTGCCGACCTTGGAGCACCACACTGACCTGGTCCTGTGGGGTCTGAGCAGGGGCAGGGGGCGCCCGCAGTGTTCCCACCTGACTCCCGGCACAGCTTCTTGATGCAGCTCGGGGGGTCCCCCTTCTGGAGCAGGCCACCCACGCTCCTGCTCCTTTGGAGCTCGGCTGCCTCACTGGCCTTTGCCCCGGAGGGAGGTGCCCCGGGGCCTGGCCGGTGCCTGCGGTGAGCGGCTGTGGCATCCTTCTCCATTCTGCTCACGCCCTCAGGTCTCAGGAGGAGGACGTGGCTCTCAGGCACGCCTGCAGATGGAGAACATGGTTCCCGCCCTCACGACCAGCAGCCGGGAGTGTGCCCCCAGTTGCTAAGTGGCCCCTGTGACATCACCGCCAAGTCAGAGGTCAGAGGTCAGCCCTGCAGCAGGCCACAGGGCTGGGGAGTGGATGTGCTGGGCCTCCCACTGGCCAGTCCCTTGCCAGAGAAGGCAGAGGAACGGCCCTTGGGGACATGGGCCCTCAGGGACAAGGCCGCCTGCCGCGGGGTCTGCATCTCAGAGCCAAGAGTCAGTCTCTTCCTTCAGGGACAAAGTTGGTGCAGACACTTGGGCAAAGGGACGAAGATGCGGAGGCGGCCTCATCCTCTCCCTGCGTGAGAGGAGGTCTCTGTAAAGACACGGCCTCAGAGGGCACTGAGGACGGCTGGCAAACTGGACTCACAAACCTGCTGCAGCATTGCCATCCGCAGGAGCAGCTGGGACCGCCATGACACACGCCAGACATGACACACACATGCCAGACATGACATGCCAGATGTGACGCACACCAGAGCCATGACACACGATGTGACACACATCAGACATGACGCACACCAGATGTGAAGCACACACCAGACATGATGCACATCAGAGCCATGACACACACACCAGATGTGATGCACACCAGACATGCACCAGAACCATGACACACACACCAGATGTGATGCACACCAGTCATGATGCACACCAGAGCTGTGACACACACCAGATGTGATGCACACGCCAAGACGTGATGCACACCAGACATGATGCACCAGAGCCATGACATGCATACCAGACATGATACACACCAGATGTGACACACACCAGAGCCGTGGCACACCCCAGTCGTGACGCACACACATGTCACACACCAGAGCTGTGACACATGCCAGATATGTGACACATGCCAGAGTCATGACACACACGAGATGTGACACCTGCCAGAGCCAACACACACCAGTCATGACACACGAGACGTGACACACATGAGATGTGACACACACTAGATGTGACACATACCAGAGACATGACACACACCAGAGATGTGACACACAGCAGAGACAGTGGCTCGAGCAGCACACACATAGTCTCAGCACTGGAGGTGGGAGCCTGAGTTGTGGGCTGGGCGGGCTGGTTCCGCTGAGGCCTCTCTCCTGGTGTGGACGTGGTCTCCTCACAGGCCATCCTTCCCTCTGTCCGTCACTGTCAACTCTTCCTTTTATGAGGACCTGGATCATGTGGGATCAGGCCTGCCCAGTGACCCAGTGTAACCTAACCACGTCTTCAAAGACCCTGTCTCCAAATATAGCCACAGCTGAGGTCTTGGGGTCAGGACTTCATGCAAGTGTTTTGGGAGACGCAATTCAGCCTGTAACACAGCCTCACGGGACACTGCTGGTGCCCTCTTCCTCAGTCATCAAGACCCTGGGGGACAAATCATGGTAGGTCCTTCCCTGACAACAAGTGATAGCACTTGTGTCACAAACACTCAGAACCAGGTGCCGGAGACTCCCTGATTCACACTTCTGTCCCCAAACAAGTGTGCAGCATCCTGGCCACGTGGGCTCAGGTTGCCAGCCACGCAACCTGTGCAGGTGCCTGGTGGGCCCGGCAATCGAGATTGGCTTGCTCAGGGGGTCTGCTCCAACCCCAAGGCCCAGAACCGGGAGAGCTGGATAGATGATGGCTGGACGGTGGGACGTTAGAGCTGGCTCTTCTCTTCAGGAAATAGGTGGACAGACTGGGGTCCCCCAAAAGCCAACTGAGACGTGTCCCTGGGCTCCTGGGAGAGGCCTCTGGTCGCTGCCTACCCCAGGGTTTTCTCCTTTCAGCCTTCCACGTCCTCCCATGGGGCGTGACCTTCCAGCCCTCCTGGTTCTCTCTGCTGCCTGGGCCTGGATGTCAGTCTGAGTTGTCGAGGCTCCTTGGAGCCACCCGGCCCTGCTGTGTCTGGGCTGACCGGTGCCACGGCCTCTGACCTGGTGGCCTCCTGGGCATGCATTTCTCTCTCAGTGCCCCACCAGCCCTGGCCCTCTCCCACCGCCAAGGCTGCCCCGCCCAGAGCAGACAGGACGGGCCTGAGAGAAGCAGGGACAGCACTTCCCACCCCCATCTGCGCCCCCAGGGAAGGGGCTGACCACGGTCGCCCTGGTTCCCAGGAACATATGCCCCTGTGTCCCAGGGTCAGACCCCTGATTCTTCTAACAGCCGACTCAGGCTGGAATTAGAGAAACGACTGAGCAACAACCAAATGGAGAAAAGAAAGAAAAGAGCCACACTGTGCGCCTGGCTCCTCCCTCTCCTCCCCTCCAGGACGGACAGCAGCCAGGAGCTCCACTGGGCCCCCTCAGGCCTGTCACTCTTGGCTCCTCCTCTCAGGGGCTGGCCTATGCTTGGTCCTCGAGCCCACAGCCACTGCTGTGTCCCAGACAGGAGCACGCGAGGAAGCATGTCCTTCCCACCCTCCTTGAGCTGGATGCCCATCTCTGTCTACACTGTAAGTTCCCAGAAGAGCACCTTCCAATGGCCTGACTCCACATCTCCATCCCAGAGAGCATCATGGTTTCCAGCTCGACCCAGAGCCCCACAGCTGGACCTGCCTGTCAGGGGGCCCTCACCTGTCATTACAGGTATGTCGTCCAGCTCCCCGCCTGCCCCGCTGCCCCATGTGCAATGATCAGTGGGCAGTCCTCAGAAAGAAGAGAATGTCTGCTTTAATTGGCCAGTAAAATACATTGCAAGTCGTTAGTATCTTATAAACAGAGACATTAAGTTACAAATCCGTGTTAAAAATTGCAGTTCGATGCAGCCTAATGGCTGTCCCAAAGTTTACTTTTTCCAACATTTTCCTCCTCCATTATTGTGACAAGTAACTTACTATCTGCCATCTAGATGAAGAGTCTGAGGGACAGTGCTTGCAAACAAGAACAGAGATAGGCACAGGGTTCCACGCATCCGAACAGCACTTTCCGAAGCCGGCACCTGTGGCGTGAGGACCGTCTGGGAGAAGTTGGCAAACAGCTGGGGGGCTGACCGCCCCTGTCAGGACCCCACCCAGGAGGAGCACAGCCCTCTGTGGCCCTGACAGCTCCTGGGGGCTTCAAAGACAGTGGATCCCTGCTCCTGGGCCTGGTGTCTGCACGGCAGGTGTCTGCTTCCAACTCAGCATTCCTCCCTCCCTGATTCTCCCTGGAGAACCTTTAATCGGCTCCGTGAGACACACGGCCCATTTCACCCTCCTGCAGCACCCTCCCCTTCAGTGAGAACAGGCTGGATGTTCTGAGTTACTTTGTATCAAAGGGCTAATAAAAAAACGGTCCTTTAAAAACATTAGGAAAGACAGCTTGAATATGATACACATTTCTATTTTAAAAATCTTCCCCAAACTTCCACAAAGGGTGGTAAACGTGGATTCTACTTTTAAGCCCGTGGATGGCAAACCAACACAATCTGTGCCTGAAGAGGGCCCAGCAGACACGGCTCAGCCCCTGGCTCATCTCAGTGGCTGGTGAGGCGAGGCTCCAATCTCCGCAGGCAAGACTGGACCCCCAGGAACTCTGCAGGAGGACCCTGGTGCCCCCAAACGCCAAGGGCGTCCTCCAGTTGGGATCTCAGTGCCGTTCCACACAACCCAGCACAAAACGGACCTCCAGCAGGAAGGAGCCAAATCGCAGAGCTGAGCCTGGAGCCTCGCCACGGCCACAGGACCACAGGCTCCGGGGAAAGAAGATGCTCAGTGTCCGGCCGAGCGAAGCAGAGCCATGAAGGAGAGCCAGGGGCCCGGGCAGGCCGCAGAGCCAGCGAAGGTGCATGTGGGCAGAAGCGCGTTGCGGCCATGCACATGACTGGCCCCTCGCTCTAGAAAGGCCAGCTCCGTCCCGGCCACCAGCGTGAATAAGGTGAGTGCAACCACAGAGATGGCCCCGGAGCCTGGGAGGCCAGGGGCTCGGGACTCTGTCTCCCACTGACACCGCGGGTCCCCTGCTCGTTGGTTCCACCTTGTCTCCTCCTCCACAGGCGGCTTTGTGGGGCGGCCTCACATGGAGTGGGTGGAGACCTCAGACTGCTGCCTGATGTAGCTCTGGAAGCTCTTGTCCCCGATGGGGTGCTCCCTGGAAGGAAGGAAGGGGCACGTGAGGGGCAGCCCACTCTGCTGTGCCCTGTAGGATGCATGTGTGCTGTAAGGGCTGCAGGCAACATGGACAGCAAAGGCTCCTCGAGGCCGCCCAGGGAAGCACATGACCCTGGTCACAGCGTGTAGGTGGCCCATGTGCACACACGTGTGGACACTGAGCTCCGGGAAGCGCAGTGCTGTTACATGTCTGGGTGGCCCTCGCCTGTGGCGGGTACTCAGTCCTGCCGCAGACTGGTGTGTGTACAGCTGTGGCCACCGGACACAGGACCCGGCCCCCAGGCTGTATCCACTGTGGCTTCATGGTGGTCAACAAAGGTTAGTAAGGGTTAATGAAAGGTTAACAAAAGGTTAGCAAAAGGCCAAGGTGGGCTCTCTCAACACAGGGGCCAGGGTTGGGGGTAGGGAGGCGCTGCCTGGAACACTGTCTAAGGGCCCTGGAGAGCAGAGCGAGGTCCTGCTCTGAGGGAGGCTGGAAGCCTGCCCCAGGCCCCAGGCTGCACACGGGTGGCTCTGAGACAGGCCTGGCCCCCAACTCGTCCAGACCCAGAGTCCCACAACCAGGACGCCATACTCACTGGCTCCCATACTTGGTCCTCTTGAACTTGTCCCTCTTGTACTGCGCGTGCTCCTGCTCCAAGGCCCCAACCCCGGCGATGACCTGCCTCAGTGTCTTGTAAGTCTCCTGGGGGTCATCGATGATGAAGGTCGAGTACTCCTCCTGCTCTGGCCCATCGTACACGGATCTGCTCCCACAGGCCTCTGTCAGGAGAGGCCAGAGGTCAGGGCACAGCAAGAGAGCCCAGACAGGCTGCCTCCTCGGGCAAGGGCTGACCATTCATGGCAAAGGCACAGAAAGAAAGCACTCCCCAGAGCCGGCCAGTCCTGGGCTCTGGAGAAGCCTGCAGGGGCGAGAGACCAGGGCCCAGCCCTCTCCAGCAGCGCTTC